GGCGGTTCGCCTGAGCCCCCGTGTCGTGTGTGTTGCAGGGACACGGCCGGGCAGGAGCGATTCCGGACCATCACGACAGCCTACTACCGGGGAGCCATGGTAGGAGCAATGCGGCGCGCGGAGCCCGCGCCACGCGTTCAGCGTTCGCCGTCGGGTCGGTGGGTTTAGCGTGGAACACGCGCAGCTGCCGCTCTTCTGGCACATAGACTCTGCCTGGCCAAGTGTTCACGGTTGTGCTCCTGTCTTGGACAACCCGGGAGCTCCTGGAGGCAGCTTTGCTCCATGACCCGCTCCATAAACGCGTGTCCCGCACACCTGATGGAGCCAGGCATGAACCGCGGTGGAACGTTGTGTGGAACCGTAACCAGCTGTTTTGAAAATAGTCTTTGTGAAGTTGCTCCTCTCTGCTGTGGGCAAGTCGTTATCTCTTGGCTGAAACAACCTGTCTCCTTCTTAATCTTTAGGGCATTATGTTGGTCTATGACATCACCAATGAAAAATCCTTTGAAAACATTCGGAACTGGGTCAGGAATATTGAAGAGGTAATTTTTCTGTTTGTTTACTGACCGTTAAAGGTGCTGTTTCTTCCTTCAAAAGGAGTTGAAACTTAATTGCGTCAGAGGGTGAGTTTCTTTTGCATTCCTGTGCTGGGTGCTTGGAAAATAAATGGAATGGGAATCAGTAGTAACTCCTGGCATGCCTTGGTTAAGGGTGATTCGTGGCGCTGGCCCAGGAGAGCGCGCCAGCTGTGGGGACCACTGTCCCCCTCGTGGTGAGGGGACCTAAAAGTGGCTGTTCTCATGCCATGACACATGCAGGACACGCGTGGCTGCTGGGGTGAGGGGTCTGTGGGCGCCCCCAGATCTGCAGAAGGTGCTTCACACCAGCAGCACCAGCAGCTCTGTGTCAAGCACTTGCTTGTGCCTTGTCTTTTTGACAATATTTGCCTACCAACACCTGAGCCAAAGCCCATCCTTTCATCTCTTTCTGTCCCAGCACGCCTCTCCAGATGTTGAAAAAATGATCCTTGGGAACAAATGTGACGCAAATGACAAAAGACAAGTTTCTAGAGAGCAAGGGGAGAAGGTGAGTGCTGTAGCTTTAACATATTTCAGCTCAGACTTTTCAGAGTATAAAAACTGCCTTTGCCACCGTCAGTGCCTCGGTGGTGCTTCTGAGCAGAACTATGGAACGTTTCCCAGGCTGTTTTCCCTGGTCTGATAGAAAGATGAGTCTGTGTTAGGAATTCTTGTGGATTATCTGGTTAAGATGTGTTGGGTGCAAAGCAATGAGCTGGATTTTTTCTTAGGAAAAGAAAGAAAAAACATGTTAGAGTGTGATGTTTAGGAAATGTCTCTTTTTGGCTGAAAGCCAGTGAGAAGGCAGGCAGGATGGGCTTTTGTGGCTGTCAGACATGACTCGGTCAAGGCAGGGAGAGCACTTCTGCCCGCTGCAGATGTTACCAGACTGTCGAGGTATCTGTGCAAGGAAACAAACAAAGGAGCAGATTAAAACGTGTGCAGAGCATTAAACAGAAGAGCAAAGCCCAGTAAGAACAGATGTTAATGGGAAGGAGATTTAGTTCCTGATTTTTGCAAGTTGTTCTGCTGGAGTAAATCCCCAAGTTCCTGTGAGTCTGGCAGGAGGGGCAGGGCCTGTGCAGCTGGTTGTGTTGAGAGCTGCTCCTGCAGTTGTCCAACTAATGTGAAACCTGCTTTTGTTCAGCTTGCTGCAAGCTTCGGAATTAAATTTATGGAGACCAGTGCGAAAGCGAATATAAACATAGAGAACGTAAGTACTGCGACCTTTCTCTGACTTTTGTTGTCGCCTTTGTGCAAACAAGCGATGAGAACACGGGCCCGTCCTGGCTGGGTGCAAAGCTCAGCCCTCAGGTACTGCAGGTGGGTTGTTAAGTCCATATTTGTGCGCTCTGCGAAGGTGGTGTCTAACCAACGTTATGCTAATTTATTTAAATTGAACTCACCTTTGCACTCGACAATGCGATTGATAAAGGGTGGCGTCTTGCCACTCTGCAAGCCCTGGATGTGCCCTGCCGTGGGTGGTGTGGGCCGTCGTGGTTCTCGGGCTCGGAAGGGAGGTGGTGGAGTTAGAAAAGGAGCATTAAAACCTGGAGGGGGAACTAAAAAACCGGAAAACTTGGTGTTCTCCAGGAGTTCGGTATACATAGAAACTCGGGAGGGCAGTTTATTGCTAATCAAAAATGTTAGAATATATTTGATTAACCGTGTAACACTTAACTGTTTTACTTGTCGCAGGCATTTTTCACTCTTGCAAGAGATATCAAAGCAAAAATGGACAAGAAGTTGGTGAGTAACCTTTGCTTCATCCATGCTGCATTTAAATAGGAAAAAAAAAAAAGAAAGCGAACCTGAAAGCCAAATAACAAATACCTTTCATAGTGTATAAAAATGTTTTGTGGTCTCTTTCATGGGGGGATGTGCTGAAGGTTATAGAAATTTGGTTTTAATTTTGTCAAACTATGCTCAGACCTTCGCTCATAAATAATTGTCTCTGCATTTCAGGAATTAGCTGCAATGGTTGAGGTTTTCTAAATAAAATTGTCTTTTACTTGTTTTAGTGAAAGTCAGGTGAGTGGCAGAGCAGTCTAAAGATATTTCTCACTCTTACAGTCTGTGAAAAACAGAATCGTACAAATTAGACCTCTAGGAGGCCCACGTCATACCTCGGGGTAGTCTTCAAACCAGTATGTTTAAAAATAGGTGAAGAACTAATTAGTGTTGTGATAAGGGTTGTGAAGGTGACCTGAGAAGTGGTTGGGTTATCTTTTGTACAACAAATGAACGTGTGTTGATGTTGGTTTGCTCCCTATGAAATGGAGCTCACAGAGATTCCTTTTGCGTTTTCTGAGCGTTCCGCCTTCGTGTGACCAGACGCGTGCTGGTAGAGCTGGGATATTTTGGGTCTCGCTGACAATTCCTAAGTGTTTCAGCAAGAGCCAAGCACGTCCTGTAATTTTTTTTTTGAATCTCAGCTGTCTTTGAGCTTACAGAAGGAAGAAGAATAGGGGCAGCGTTTGCTAGTCGGAGCCAAAAGTAGCAGACACAGTTCTCCGACTTGTCGTGGTGGCTGATGGGAGGGTCAGATCAATGAGTGAAGTTTCCAGTTGATTTCAGGAATGGTTTTGTGTACGGCAGGCTCGATTCAACGGAATGAATAGATGAAGTATGGGTGCTAGAAGCTGTTAAGTATAAGTAACTCCGTGTTTTTTACGTCTTCAGGAAGGCAATAGCCCACAAGGCAGCAACCAGGGAGTCAAAATCACACCAGACCAGCAAAAGAAAAGCAGCTTTTTCCGATGTGTTCTTCTGTGAGGGACACGGCCTTAATGGGAGCCTCTGCTCGGCCGAGCTGGACTGTGCCTGCTCTGAGTGAGATTTCCTCTGTCTGTGGACTCGGCGTTTTCAAAAGACTTTGTCACTTTGTGACCATCTGAATAAGAAATTGTTTATTTTAGTAATTGTCTGACTCTTCAATTTTGGAGATGAAACAGGTTTATTTTTGTCAGATTGCCACCGGGCATGTGTGTTGTCTAGCAGAGGGAGTACAGATCAAACGTGACCTGTCGTACAGCACCTTGGCAGGCTTCAACCTTTTTGTTCGTGTCTGTAATGTGTCCAGATTAGAAAGATGAAGTTACGGTCAGAATAAGGAACTGAAATGCACTTCCCTAGGCAGGGCAGGCTTGTACCTTTTCAGAAGGTAGAAGGAAGCTTCCTGCATCTCCACCTCTTTGCTACTACAGAGAAAATCTTTACCTGCCTGTTCCTTACTCGTTTGCATTATTCTAGACAATCCACAAGTACAATTGAAGTTAAAAAAAAAAAAAAAAAAAAATCCTCCTCAAAGGAATCTATTTTTTTAAAAAACCAAAGCGTGCTGTAAATATAACAGATCTTTACCATCAGGAATTACTTTATCCATGTTAATTACTTGATCCATATCGACTTGACCGTGCTTGATTCAGTACTCCAGGCATTCCAACGTGTATAACAGGAGATGATGATGGCTACAGGGAGTCCCACAGGAATGATCTTAGAGAAACAGACCCGGCTCAGGTGGGGATGTTTACCCAAAATTTGTACCATTACAGCGGGCGGCTTTTCCTTCTCCAGTTGGGAATGACTCCAGATCTGTCGTGATGTCGTAGCTAGTTACAAATTGTGACAAGAAAATGTATTGCACTGCTTCCAGTTGTGTGTTCTCATGCACACTTGCTCACGTATGCAAATCAATGTTGCACATCCGAACACTTTCTGAAAACGGACTTTTTTAGGCTGAGATTTGCCTTGCTGCTGTGTACCAATCACTTCAGATTCCGAGCAGCAGCAAACCTGTCGGTAGCGTGCATCGATGCGAGTGATGTTTAGACCTCAGTGGAAATACTCTGTGTATTTATTCCTATAAACACCATCTATTACATTCCGATGTGTAAAATGTGGTGGCCAAGTGAAGCTCCTAGGTAGCCTCTCAGCCCAGGGGCTGTCAGCCTGGCTCTTTGTTAGACTCAGAAAGGGGCCAGTGTGAGCTGTCTGCTTCAAAGCCTGCTGCCAAGCGATGGGAATTCTGGTGTGTTTGATTCAGATGAACGTATCAGCTGTGCTCTGCAGCTCACTGGAATTGTTGACGTGCTTTGTTTACATTGGCAACTGCACTTATTAAGAGTGAAATTAAAGCTGATTTTGAAGTTAATTAATATACTCACCAGCTTTGTGTTCTTCAAGTTTGTGGTGTTCTATTCTGGCCTCAGAGTAGCACTCGTAAATGTTACTGTAGTTAAAGATCTGTCGTGTTCATAATTAAACTTTATAAATCTGCAGCATGCGATTGGGCTCAACAGGAATATTGCCTGTTTTTCTAAAATGGAAAAAGGAAATTTTGCTGTGTAAGTTACTGGTTTATAGAAATGCATTTTATATGCTAACAACCTCTTTTTTTTTTTTTAATAGCTAGCAGATTACAGTGAGCTCTGTTTGCTATTAAAATAATACGTAAAGCTTTCCTCTAACCAGAACCTTACAGTGGTTTGTTTGTTTGTTTACTTGTGGCTTTTTAGCGTGAGGACTCGGTGAACGTGCACCGGAGTGGATTGCACACAGATGTGTTTGCAGGATAAAATCCCGTTAAGCTGCCGAAGAGCCTTCCAGTCAGGATGTGCTTCAGAGTGTAGTTAACACAGAGCTGTAGGTGGGACAAGCAATACTTCTCTCTTGAGGATGCTCTTTAAAAAAGACTTTGTGTGTGCTTCAAGAGATTTCTGAGACAGGACTGGGGAGGTGATCAAGGCGTGGTCTGAATGTTGTTTTTCTACACAAAACATGTGCTTAATGATTTGTTTCTGGCTAGGTAGCAAACGGGGATTGTCTCGCATCCATCCTTCTACTTTAACATAGCCAGATGTTGCAGCCAGACTCATTTTTCAAAGTTACTGGAAAAAGAAGTGTTCAGTCTAAGTTGCTGTCGTGGGCTGCGCACTGTGACACTGCCTGCTGACAGTGTCTAAATGGATAACTCGCCTCGAGAGGAGAAAGAAAATATTAATTTACAAGTGGATAAAACTTGAAGGATAGAATTGTGGTTTTCACTCCTCGCTTTCTAAATGTTAAGTTACTCGTTTGCGTTCAGAGCTCACTCTTTGTACGTGAATACCTTTTGTTTAAACTTGTGCTGGTTGTTGCACATGTTTATGTACCGAATTTGTAGCATGATTTCCTTTGACAAAACGATTGGTTTTACTCAATGAGCAACTATGTTATTGCCCGATCTCAGGAAGTTTCATACAGTTACTGTGACTGCAGTCAGCACTGTACTTCTGGGGTGTGCAGAGCCTACACAGGAACTAAATCAGCGTAAGCAACGTGAAACCTAAAATGCAGAGGTTGAAGGCACTGCAGTTGCGTGTGTGCTTGGCTCCGTGTTGCTGAATGTGGACATCACATCTTGGAGAAGTACAAGATGTAGTGGATGCTTCCATCACACAATTAGATTACTGTGGTTATTTTAAGTGTGAATGTTACGGAAAACACAACGATCAAAAGAGGTACTGCGTAAATACGTACAGGAATGTGTTTATACGTAAGCTCTCTTTAAGGAGGAAAAACAAAATTTGGATACAAAACTTGTAAAACTGAGGAATTTAAGTAGATCTGAAGAACTAGCAATGTGCTTACTACACGTTCTCAGTGTCCAAATGCCACTAAAATGTCAGGTGATTGATTAACACTTGGTTTGTAGGGAAGCAAACCCATTTTTGAGCGTGTTCTCAAATTCCCTTACTTTACTATCATGGAATTCTGTGGTTGACCGTATCTTTGAGGCTGGTTGCAATATTTCAGATAGTCTTCACCCTTTCAGGGGCAGAGCTGTCAGCAGCTCGTCTGTCAATAAATGGTGAAACTGCTGGTTTAACACTTGTTGACCAGGTCCTGTGCTGATAGGCACGTCTTGTGTTCCTCAACATCAGAGCCTTATGCCAGCATCAGACTTCCAGCCTCAGATTTATAAATCCTATGGATTATTGTAAGTCTCTTTACTGCTGCTGAAAATTACTTGGTCTCTCCTTTCCTGTGAGATGCTGATCATCTCACTGACAATTGTTAAGGGTTTTGTTGTTGTGGTGTTTCTGGCTGGTGATCATGCTCAAGCTACCATGATTTCTTGTTCTTGTGGACTTGAAACGGCTGGTGGTTAGGCTGGAGAGGGAACGGACAAACAGCTGTGTGGAGGATGGTCTCCATTTGTCCTAGAAGTTCACAGGGGTTGGGAAGGAATGATCACTGACTTGTGTCTTCGTTCATAGACTAAATAACTCTGTTCAGCTGAACGTTAATGGTAACGTGCAGTCCGATTGTTTCAGGCTGCCGTATTCTTTGACCCACCTCTCACTGATGTTGGAGTTTTTGTTTCTGTGGGTGATAAAGTTCAGCGGGCTGGTCTCCAGCCTTTTTGCAGGAATCACGGGCTTTACGTCGAGCGTGAGCTGGGACTTACGACTTTGTTTTGAAGGGAACTTAATGCATCCCAGTATTTGTAAAAATAACTGTACATTGTGTTTTAGAATGACCACTTTCGGCTGCCACCCTTCGCGCATTACGACTGCTTTCTTAACACTTCTCATTGATTTTCATGTTTGTATTAAACCCAAAACTGTTGTTTATTACAATACGTATGTTTTTACTCTGTTGTACAGGACCCTGAGCACTGCATAAATAAACTTCTTATGAAAAGAGAATTTTACAAACTTGGTTTGTCGGTCTTGTTCATTATCTGTGCATATAGATCCTTATGTGGAAAGTGGGGTGTTTCTAAAAATAGAAAAGAGGGACAGGAACCCGGGGTGGGCTCTTTTGTCCTTTATGTTGACTTTTCGTTGTAAATTCTGAAATGGAGAGGTCTTCTCTGTATTCTTCTTAGAACCTGTAATGGGCTTGTGTGGCACACGAGGAGAACACCTCAGCAAATTGACTCACTGGACCGTTTGTTAAGACTGTTGAAGCTGCTCAGAAGAGTTGCTTACGCAATTTTCATTAACCGTAATGTTTTTGAAACTATTTTAGAATCACAGAATGGTTTGGGTTGGAAGGGACCTCAAAGATCATCCAGTTCCAACCCCCCTACCATGGGCAGGGACACCCTCCACTACACCAGGTTGCCCAAAGCCCCATCCAACCTGGCCTTGAACACTTCCAGGGATGGGGTAGCCACAGCTTCTCTGGGCAACCTGTGCCAGTGCCTCACCACCCTCTGAGTGAAAAATTTTTCTTATATCTAATCTAAATCTCCCCTCTTTCAGTTTAAAGCCATTGCCCTGTGTCCTGTCACTACACGCCCTTGTAAAATGTCCCTCTCCAGCTTTCCTGTAGCCCCTTTAGATACTGGGAGGTGCTGGAAGGTCTCCCCGGAGCCTTCTCTTCTCCAGGCTGAACAGCCCCAACTCTCAGCCTGTCTCCATAGCAGAGGTGCTCCAGTCCTGAGATCATCTTCGTGGCCTCCTCTGGACTTGCTGCAGCAGCTCCATGTCCTTTTTCAAGGGGTTTTTAATGGATAAAGCATTTTCTTAGGGTTTTTTTTAGATACTATAATTTGATACAAGTTCCTCTACTACCCGGTGGTGTCTGAACTGTAAAAAAAATATTTCTCCTGTCACTCTAGGCCACATTTGCTCTAGCTGTGGGAGGGAATAGTTAAATTATAGGGAAATCTTGAAGAGCTTAATGAAGTTTCCTTTTGAAGAGGTAAACAAGACAGGGTTCTCCGACTGGTTCAGTTACCAGAGAGTGTCCTCTTTGGTCTTCTTGTTTTGCTCTCATATGGACAGTAACCTCGGGTGAAGAAAAGTTGTTGAAGGTTCCGGAAGCACTTCTCTCTACGTGTTTTGCTAGAGTCAGATTCGGATGTGAAACGTGCTGTTAAAAAAAAGAAGTAAGGATCACTTATGTATCACTCTGTTCAAAGGGATTCACTACAATGTATCCTGGGACTAAACTGGGAACTTTATTTTGCAAAGCACTTGCAAAGAAGAGGTGCATTAAATAAAAGCAAGATTTTGAGTGCTGCTTGTGTAACACATTTGTCAGAAAACATGTTAAGACCATGTTATGTATTGAGTGAGCTGATCTCACACACCGATCAATGGAGCCTGAGTGCTAATATTAGCTTTTTAAG